CCACCTGAATGGAGAAAATTTACAACAGATATTACACAGACGGACAGACGGACTTGCTTAAATCGATTTAGAATTTGATGCTGATCAAGAATATATATAATTTGTGGGGTCTCTGATGCTTTCTTCTAGGCGTTGCAAACGTTTTGGCAAAATTAATATATACCCCCCCCCCCATCGTTTGGTAATGGGTATAAAAACTATAAAGCAAAAATTGTTTTGAAGGAAAATTTGTGAGCTTAGGACAGAAAAATTAATAAAATTACAAAGTCTTGATAAATTCGAAAAATTCTGATATCTTTGAACAAGTAGTAGAAGGTCTAGCTCGAATACATTTTTTAAGGATATCCTGAGCTATAATTCATTTCGTATTGATTCCATACTTATTCCACTTCAGAAAACATACAACAAAATAAATTATACGGCTAGGCTAACATTCGGATTTGAGAGTACGTATACCCTTGTAAGATCATTTATTCATGTGCATTGGCACAGTGCAGACACAAGTGCCCAACTTTGCACGCAAAAAACTGAGATAAAGACCTAAAACTTGGTAGATGGCTTTCGCTAAGATTTGCCTTACACTCATTATAGATTTTCTGCTTATGGTAAGCACATCGAGAGGATCGCACTACGTACACCAATGATTTTGCTAAGCGTACATGTCAATAATAAATATTTATCAATATTGCAATTAGGCCAACTGCCACGCCTACATTTAATGAAATATCTTTAGTAATTTTTGGGAACGACGGCTTGAGGTGGTGGGGAATAAAGTTTCGCCGTACGGCGAAAAAATCCTTCTTATGTATTTCAGTTTAAATTCTATTCACTTGACTTTGTGCCCAAAGATCTTCTCTTATAATTTCAAATATTGGCTTTTCAATTCATCGATTTATACTTCATTTAAAAAAAAAAAAATAATAATTTATTGCATATATTTAAAAATTTAAAAAGATTGTTTTCTTCTTTTTCCGATTATTTTTTTTTTTTTTAAATAAGTTTTATTTTAACATAAAAATCCAAATCCAATTCCCTCGCTATATTTTTACAAATACATATTTCGAATGGAAACAAAAACTGCTGTGAATAGTTTTTAGTGGTTAATATATTTAAACTCTAAACTAAAAAAAAGGAATAGAAAAATAAAAAAAAAGTATATAGTTTTTTAAGCTCTAAAAAAGCTAAACACATATAAAAAACACCAAAAAGCAAAAACAAAAAAACTATAACCGTTCTTAGTGCACAGATTTTTGCGTTAATTATTATTATTATTACTTGATCTATATATATATATATATGTATATATGTATATATATATATGTACATTTTATTTACAAACTTTTCCCCCTATAAAAAAACTGAACGATACATAAATACAAGCCAAGCCAAGTTAAGGTATAAGAAATAAACTGAAAAACAAAACTTTTCGAGAGATTCGTTAAAGACAATAAGTGAAATTTTAAATGAAATTTTGTAGACAAGTGCATATAGTATTTTAGTTGTATATTTTTTAGTTTTGTTTTGTTTTTTTTTTTTTTTTTTAGAATGAAAAAAGTTATATAAAAATGTTGAAATCAATTAATTAAAGAGAAATATACACGTGATCTTTACAACAAATAAAATATAATAATAATTTTCAAAGAAAAATAAATTCATTAAAAATTTTATTCAAACGATAGCACATTATACACACAAATACAAACATTCGTGCATATATGTACTTTGTTTTTTTTTTCCCATCAAATTTACATGTAAAAGAAGAACAAGAAAATGAATATCAATTATTGATTTAGGTAATAATAACAATAAGTTAATAAACACAAAATTACATGGCATCTTAAAAAAAAAAAAAAAAGAAAAAAAAAAAATTTTTCATATGAAATTCATATAAATTCAATTATACTCTTGTTCTCTTTCTCATACTCATTGTAAACTAAAAAATTTGTGCTGTGTATTCATTAATTTCAAAAGTTCATCGATATTAACAGTTACTGTTACTGAAGTTACTGTTACTGTCACCTATGCACAAAGTGAAATTTTTCCATACCACCATACACTTCATTGTTAATTCCGCCTAATATTCTCAATCTACTCTCATCGTTATGTACTCACTTAAAAAGTCTGTCTCTCTCACTCTCTCTCTAACTCTCTCTCTCTCTCTAACTCTCTCTCTCTCTCTCTCTGCCACTCTCACTATATCTCTCTTTCCCTCTCTGCTCAAACTGTTTTGCTCAGTTTGTCTCTTAAATTAACAGAGAATGTCTTTTTTTCTTGTTATTCTTTCTCCAACCTTAACATTACTTTTCTTATTTTATTCATTGTAGACATAATTGAAAAACTCATTCATGTGCATTACGTATTGTATTTTAATATATTATGTAATACTAATGATATAAAAAAAAGAAGAGAAGAAAATTACAAAGAATTATAAGACATTATTATTACAAGACAAGTATAAAATAATAAAATATAATTAGTTCGTTAAGTTGACAAGAAAAAAAAAACAGAGAGTTTTATTTATTATATATCGAACTAAAAGAAAATATTCACTTTAAAGTTGTAAATAAATATACAGTCAGATTGAAAAGTATCGGAACTTGGAATTATATGGTTTCGTTTTCGCATATTGCACGACACAGTCGCTCTTAGTCGCTCTTAATGTAATTATAAAAGCATATGTTTCAACTGCGCATTAGATTTCATCTGATTAAGTTTAACGGTAGTTTTGTAAAAGTTTCGAAACTTTCGCTTATGCACAGTTGCTTAAAGAATATGTACACAATGTGGCTTCCTGTTACTCTTATGCGTATTAATGGCCACGCATCGCTTAAAACCCAACACTTCTGATGCGTTTATTCGCGTATTTCAAAATCAAACGTTCATGTGATTGTAACTGTGGTAGAACGATATATTAAACTTGCGCGGATGTATGCAACATCCAGAAGCACTTGCGATAGACTCATTTTTCATTATACCGATCAATTAATAATCATTTTCCGAAATAATTTAACCGCTCGTCTGTCCGTCTGTCTGTCTATGTAAATTTTTGTTCAAGCTACAGGTCGCAGTTTTACAGATATTTCAATCAAATTTGCTACACTGACGTGCAAGTCACTTGCTGTCCGGCTGTCCATCTTATTGCCTTGTGTTCACGCTACAAGTCACAATTTTCGAAACATTTTCATAAAATTGCTTACCTTGATACATTTTAGTTCAAATATGAACTCTATTGACAATGGTTCAGATCAGAACACTTTTTCAAGCATATCCCACATAACGACTTATATTATATGAATAACTCTACTCAACAAAATGGTGCCCGGAATTTAATGGTGATCCCCATTGCAGTGTTTTTACTTGTTATAAAACTCGTTATTAGCGCACAACCATAAATCACTGAGGAATGTTGTGGAAAACTAATTTAGATTGTTAAATTGTTAACAAATGGAAAGACACTTACTTATGTAATTACTAAAACAATTGCGAGATTAGTAAGAATCCTAAAATTGAAGGGCTAGGGACATGAGCAACTACATTAAATTTTTCCGATCATAGTGCGAGTTACCTACACAAAACTAACCAACTACTAAGAATAAACCATTGAATGGAAACCTGGAATGGAAACCTTGAATAAAACTAGTAAGAATATTATAGTCGAGTAACGCCAACTATTAGATACGCTACCCCACATTGCCTAATAGAATTATTTACTCGTTTTGTTAACAATACATCGAAAGTTATCCATTGTTTTCGTGCAAAAGCAAATTGCAAGAACTCTTATAGGCAGTGATATCGAAAAAATAGACCTAGGTGGTCCAAATTAGTTAAAGTTAATTGCCATTTCAATTTATTATCATAAGCTAATTTTCACCATAAAATGTTAAAATGTTAAATGTTTCCTACAAAAAGGTTATATGGCAGAGGTTTAAAAAAATTGCCAAGGTCGGAGCAAATTTTTCATACCAGCTTGGAATGTCCAAATATCATTATACTACAGAAAGAGTTTTGTTGAGAAATTTTGAAAATCGCAATTTTTTCCCCAAATAACGACTTTTCAAAATAGTGCATTATGTGGGGGGTGGTCCATAAAGTCGATAAACTCAAGTCATTTTTAATGGCGTTCAAATTTCAACAAAATATCACCAAAACTGCGGCCTACAGACTGAACAGAAATAACCATCAGATCGATTAACACATGGAAGGACAGACGGACAGTCAGGCTTAGACGTTTCAGAAAACTTTTTTTGAATCAATCGGTATAATGGAAGATGGGTCTATCTTAAACCTTTCTGTGTGTTACATACGTCCGCACAAACTTAATATACCCTTCACCACAAATTGTCGAGGGTAGGAAAATAACAAAAATAGAAAACAAATTAAAAATCAAGCGAAACGATATAAATCATGAAAAGAAAACAAACCATATCTATGTACATGCACTCGTAAGCCGCTTATACAAATATGTTTGCATAGAGTCACTCGCTGTAAAATATTCCCTAACTGTGCAAATATAATAGTTGCGGAGCTTGCTTTTGCCACGCGACAAACAAATAATAAAGTTCCAAGCGTTTCGAGATATTGAAGAAACAAAAGCAACAAAAATATTATCTCTAACAGACGCGGAAGAGTAACTTGACCACATTGTTTGAGCAATTGAAAGCACCCTATGTTACATATATGCCTATGCTACTGCACTGCCTTTGATCTTTGCATATAACATACTTATCAAAAATTTAAATTTACATTTTTGAACCTGGTTTTTGAAACGTGATAAGCACAATTTTTTTTTTTTTTTGTTGAATATACTTTTCTCTCCAGCATTTATAGATGAAGGCATATAATTACTCTGTGTACAAAATTCGAAAACACCCTTCAGAGGTTACTCACATTAGATGAAAATGCTTAAAGAATCTTTTTCGGAACGATAGTGAATAGACGAAACCGCTTAGTATTATTCACAGTCAAGATGAATTTTACTTTGCACTTTCAAACCCGCCTAAGGTATGACCAACCTAAGGGCAAACTGTGTGCCAGACATCGCTAATTTTTTGTGTGTGCGAATTCAAATCAACGAAGATACTAAGATTTTGTAGTTTATTTAATAAAATATCTCATGCCATTCTTCTTTACGAACTTAATCATATTTCTTGTAATTTAGTCTCGCATAATTAATTCTATTAGCCTAAGTTAGTGAGGTGAACCGCCTATGTCCTAGTGCTTTATAACCCGATCATTAATTGGCGAAGCGATTCTTTTTGCTCAGGGTACGTATGGGTGGAGAAAAGCTGAAAACAACGGAGGGGAGTTGTAAAGTTTGATGTAAATAATTTGTACTTGCATGTATACTGATCATTTATTAAAGGCATTTATTAAGAAAAATTGGCACACTATACATTAATCAAAGTATTTCCCATGATTTTCTACGACTTTTTTCGATTCTTCTGGCAAGATGGCGATATCGTACCGAAAAAACCATATATCACACTTCTTCAGCATTTCGAAACCAGGTGTCATCCAAGCCGTGCTGCATCAATCTGAACAAAAGTTAACCGGAACGCGTTATATCTGGTGAGTATGTTGGATACGACAGAACTTCCCATGCAAGTTGCTACACTGCATTCTTGGCAGCACTTGCAACGCGCGTCGAGCTTTGTCAAACAAAAGGATGACTCTGTATCGGTTGCTGATCTTTCTTGCAACAATACATTCTTCGGTTTGTTCATTCATTCATCTGCAATAACATTTTCATCCGGTTTTAGCAGTTCATCCGGTTTTAGCAGTACACCTTATTGGTCCCATCATATCAGCACACGAATTTTGAGGCTTAGAATATTCTGCTTCGATGATGATGTAGATGGGTAGCTCTCCTTCTCCAACCTATGACCCTTTTGTGCAAGACATTGCCATAGTAGATCCACTTTTCATCACCAGTCACAATGTCTCACAGAAAGCTCTTCTTTTTTTGGCTGCTTTTTTGGCAATGAAACCGCAATGTTGAAACGGATCGAAATGGCATTTGCAGTCAATTCGCATGGTAGCAATATCCGTCCTTTTGTATTCTTCCCATCGTATGTAAACGTCTAGAAACAATTGATTCAACAACTGCTAAGCTGTTTGAAAGTTCTTGAAGAGTTCGAGCTTAGTTTTCGTGCAATTCATTACCTTCAAATATTTTTGGTCCTCCAGCCTGTTGAAACCGACAATTGAGATATGATGGAGCATCATTACCATAATTTTCTAAAATGTGTTTAATACACTTCGGCCGCAGATTTCCTCACATCAAATAACAAAACTAATGAACGCCAAAAATGCCATTTTGACCATTCCATGATTAGCGTCAGTATACACTAAATAACTCAACAAAATGAAACGGGAAAATGTTATTTTATGTAGAGAAAGATCAATATCGTCGAATTCAACCATTGACACATCGCATTACTTTATCATTTTCAAAATACATGCAAGCATCTAATGAAAAATCAAGACTGAAGGCAAAGGTAAGGTAAAGGTAAGTCTGCTGTAAGTCTGTAAGTTGTTTTTTTTACCCCCGAAATTATCCTGGTGCAGAGAAAATACTTATGATTTTGAAAATAACACATTCTAGCACTCCTTCGACACTTCCTTCTAATTATCATCCTATTACACATACAGGAGACATCTTCTCACTGATTGGTTATTATAAAGAAAAGAAACAAAGTGGACAGAAGAGAAATTTTAATTTTTCCTTTTCCTCTTGATTAGTTAGTTTTGCAATCATTTTTACGCAATTTATAGGAAACAAATTTTTAATGTAATTTCAATGCGTTGTTCACAGCGAATATTATCGCAAAGTTAACGACATCGCTATGTAATGCAAACGAATATATAATAAGCGTAAAGTATTAGTCGCACGCATTGAAGTTTATGAAAAGCGAGTCTAGTAAATACATTGTATCCTTATCAGCACTTATCAGTTGAACGTCTTTCGTTTTTATTCAATAATTTAGTTGTACACGCATCAATAGTTTTTGTATTAATTGTTAATAAATACAAAGCGGCTATTAAAATAATTAAAAAACTTATTAGATGACTTATTAAACATTATTGAGCGAAAATCTGCACAATTTGCTTAACACATCAAATCTTTCTACATATGCTTACGCACATGTCTAAGCTGGGCGATGAATGTTTTTTTTTTTTTTTTTTTTTTAATTAGGGCAAATATTTTTCTGAATATATTATACATATGTAGCCATATATATATTTATACATATATATATTATATATATACATGTCTACCATCTGGACTCACTTGCGACAACAAAAAGCACAACCAGTATTGTTACTGAGACTGCGACGTGTCTGAGACACATCATATTATACTGAAACTTGAATATATACCCTCTTGTATGCAAAAGTGATTGTATTATATGTATATCTCTGGATTTTATACGCTGTGTTCCAGAAATGCCAACTACTATAACGACCTACGTTATCGCGAGCAACTATTATCGTACACAAAAATTTATAAAAAAAGAAAAAAAATAAATTAAAAGAAAGAAAAAAAAAAAAAAAACAAAAAAAACAAACGATCATATATACAAGACAAGGAGAAATATCGAAAATAAGAAATGTTGCTTCAGCAGCCAGACCAGTCAGTAGCGGCTGTTACTTGTCACCGATCACATCACACAATAAAGGCTTAAAACCGTGCGTGCACGCAAATGAAATGAAAAGTGTATAAACTAAAAAACATCCATTGATATTAATATTAAAAAAACAAAAGCAAAGAAAAAAAACGAAATTCTAGAAAAGTGAAAAAAAAAACACTACATATATATTAAAAGAAAAATTTATAGAAATTATTGAGAGTAAAAAAAATAAAAATAAATAAATAAAACGCGTGCTTCATCATGTTTATCAAAACTCTACAATTATTTAACAATAGGTAAGCATATGTGTGTATGTGTGAGTATTACTTTTTAATTAATCAATAGTCGCATACAATGTAAGGAAATTTCTTGTTGTCAAAAACGTGTTCCAATGAGAAAAAAAAAAGAAAAAAAATAAATACCAATTAATCTGCCTTCGCAACGTTGTAGACGTTAGCGGAAATCATGTTATGTTAAAATATTTCTTCTTTATTTAACAGAGCTTTGGGTTTTACAGAAACAAAAAAGAAAAAAAAAAAGAAAAGAAAAACAATAACGAAAATACCGCTGCATTTATGCAATTTGCGGTAGGTTTTGTATTTACAATCGTTACACACTGTTACTCTCGCCTTACGGTTTACTCGTTATACGTATACACGTTTGCGACCCTCGTGTATTGTGTATTGTAAAACGATTTCATTATAGTTTCCTTTAGTTGTTGTTTGTAAACAAATGCATTTCTCGAAACGAAATTCAATATCAAAACAAATGAATCGTCTGCGTTTTTTTAATATCAGCTATAAAAAGAAAGTGAAAGAGAGAAATTTAATCTATTGAATAATAAAATTTATTGTAACGTGTCTGCGATATTTTCAATTATTATAATTTTTTTACAAATTCCACTCTCATTCAATGCAGCGTGACAGAATAAAGTTTCTTTTTAATTTAAAAAAAAAAATAAAAAAAAATAAAAAAAAATAAAAAAATGAAAATGAAAAACTTTAATGATCATTATTTAACATGACTTGTAGTAGCAGTTGAAAAGCAATAAATTCATTTTCTCAAGTCGCAGGCCCGCTACAAGTGTTATATAAGAATTTATTTACTTATTTAAATTATTTAAGGTTAGTTTGTTCAAACAAAGCGCATTGAAATCGTAAAATTTATTTTCAAACGAAAATAATTATTGGATAATGATTGGTGGTAAAGAAATATCAGAAAATTTCAGAATGTTTTTACTCTCTCGGTTTCTTGCTCTACTACTATTTATAGTACCTACGTAAGAAGGCTATTTTCGAAAAGAAAGAATGAAATTTCTTATTGACTCAATACTTAATTTTGAAAAAGTGTTCTTATTATACTTCACATCACTTGTGGTACAGGTGTATGTAACAACCGGAAAAACTCGAGATAGATCCTCATTTTATAATCCACTCAGAAAGTGGTTCTACTTCCTAGCTCCTTCCAAGCCCTCATTTTATTATACCGATCGGCTCTAAAAGTGATTCTCTTTTCAAGTTTGTCCGGATTTTTCCTTTCAATCTACAAGCCGTGAGTTTTGAAATGCTTTGAAGAAATTGGTTTTATCCCAAAGACGAATGTTACTGAAAGCGACTCAGGACGAAACACTATGTCTCGCTCTTCCCACATAAAGCACTACTTTGAAAAGTCGCAATATGAATAGTGTTACTTATTAAGGAATATAGATGATTTCAAAGCGCTATATATGTAAATAGCATCCGAATTTGTCACATAAAAATAAATAATTTATTCATTAAAAATTACTTTAACCCCTTGAAAGATGATCCTTCCTGAGTAGTTTTTTTCAGAATTGCTTCTACGCTTTGGCGAACTCTAATGGGCTTGAATCGAAAGCGTGAAATAAAGCAGAACGAAGCAATAACGACTTATCCATTAGAAAAGGGAATTTTGGAAGTATAACAAAAAAAAAAAAAAAGAAGAAAACGCCGTCGTTTGATGATTTTCATTCGTTCCTTAAAAACTGCCAAGATCTAATCCTTCTAAATATAGGTAAACAGGCAGCGAAATTCTTCCAAAAAATTTTTTAATTCAACTTTATTTTCTTGACTCTTCAGTCGGAAGCTTGACAAGGCTTCACATTTGAATTGCTTTTCTTTTACGCCTTCGATTGGCCCAAGACTCGAGATAGTACTTTTCACTTTGAAGATATTAAGCGAATTAATGCTGTTCTGGTTTTATCAGAATAGTTAAAACTCCGACTTTTGTCAACCTTTGGCCAATAAATGTGACAAGAGTTTAGCTCTTTACCTAACTTTTAAACTCCTAAGTGAATTTGCAAAAAAAAAAAGTAGTAGCAGCCGTTGAAAATTAAGTAAAGCCAAACATATCATTTACTGTATATCGGGGTCCATTGAAAGCACTTTTTTATCGTTCACATCATTCGACATTTGTAACACCTTTACCACGTAGAAATTTGAAGTTTTATTTGTAATACCCAAACCCAGAGAGAATACTTTTTTCGTGAACTAAGGTGTCATCAAAAAAGCGTTGTTGATTACGATAACTGCTTTAAATCCATCAAGGTAAAGAAAACCAGAAGGTATTATGATGATATTTATTTATATTTATTTATTTTTTTTTTGTTAAACATTTCAACCAATGACCGAATAAAAGCAACTATGAAATTTTCAAAGCAAAAGTTGTAATATCTTCCCAGAACGTAGGGAACTATGCAAAACCCTAATTAATGTAAGGTAACAAATGTAACGGATAGAACGAGTTCAGGCAATTTATATAAACGCATAAGAATATAATTCAAACAATAAAAATCTTATAAAAATCTTATACTAAACTGATAAGGCAGAGCTCGGTAGCCACTTGGCAACCGATACTAGACATCGCTGATTCCGAAACGAAAAGTACTTTAAATTTATTAATTACTTGCTTTCAAATAGGACATCGGCAGATTCAGCAGATTCAGGAGTAACTAAGTTGACGTTTTTTATAGGATCCTATATATTGATATTAAATTGAAGACTTCATTTAAATATTTGTGAAAGATCCAAAAAAGGTTCAAAAGGTTGTAATTATATCTACATTGGTCAAGCTTTACGGATATGAAATTTATGGAAAAACAATTAAGAACATTAAAGTTTATCTTTCCTAATAATGTATTAACTTAGCTAGGCAGGAAACACCTAATGCAAAAAATTTCCTAGTATTCTTTAATCAACACTTTTAACTCCGGTTGTCGAGTTTTACGCTTAGCTGTTTATTCAACACTAACTTGTTACTTTAATAATAATTTCAATAAAGTCTTAAGCTAGAAGTTAGGGAATCATTACTGGTTGTGTACAACATGTTCTCTCTCTTATTGGGATAAGTTTAAAAGAGAACGTGGAGTAAGTAAATTGTATGGAACATTATACATTATATTCTACAGCTAATATAAATCTTTGCTTCTCAAGTGAGGGCGGGGGTTAATAATAGTAATTTATCTTGATAAAGACTAACAAAGCCCCAAACGGAACCCATCCTAAATTTCCCAACAAAAAAAAGAGGAATTGCTTCTCAACTGATTCTATTGGCTCAACATAAAATCTAATAGAAAGGAGACCACACAATGCAGGCGTATGTTCAAGTACTGGCCTCACCAAACTTATTGAACAACCTTTCTGTAGCATAAGGATAATCAAACTCTCTGGGCGAACTTTTGATGAAGCCAAGAGCAGTCCTGCCTTTATATGTAAATTGAAACGTAGTGTTTGGTGAAATACTACCCCCTAGTCGAAGAATCTATAAAATATCCCTCTTCTTAAACATTTTTAAATTGAGCTCGATAAAGTGAAATGAGCTCCATTCAGCTAAAATACCTAAATCAGATTGTAGACCACATGAGTACGTTACCACTTTAGAAAAAGAGAACAGTTTAACATCATCAGTGCAAATTAGAGTATAACTGGATTTAATCACCGATGGAAGATCATTGAAATAAAGGATAAATAGAAAGGGGCCTAGGTGACTGACTGACTCGAAGGATCCCCTACGGTCACAAGCAAATCGCCCGCATTGTGAACAATTATTATCTACATTAACTATACATACATATACAATACATATATGAAGAATTACCTCAAGAATAACGGACTTTGGGCTTTTGAACTTCGTCTTCTATATTCTCATGCCTTTTGATAGAGAATGAGAGTAGACTAGATTTGTATGTGTTTGTGTTCAATGGTGGCTCAACGTTAACACAAAAGTCCTTGGGCTTTTTTAATCAAAATTCATGCTCATGCTTCTTAGATGTTAATTTTATTAAATCAAACATACGTCCTTTTAGTCGATAAGATTTATCTGATGAACGTCATTAATGTAGAATTTCTGGATGAAAAACTGAAGCAAGTAATTTCGACAGACTTTTCAGGTTAGCAATGCAACCCTGCTTTCTGAAATCCATTGCCCCTCCTTCAGTGACTATGAAGCATCAGAGAGAGTGTCCCAAATTATTTTCAATTTTTCTTAGTAATGTCTATACCTGATTTTGACCGTTGCGAATTTATCAAAATCATCAAAATTTAAAAACTATAAAGAACCGTTACGTTAAGAAGAAGTAAAAATTACCAAACTAACTCGCTTTGATGGGAAATGCTCATCAAAGCAGAAAAAAATGTGCTTTATTGTATTTATTTGCAATACTATAAATAAATCCATCACTCCTAAAAGTCTGCTATTTATTATTGCTTAAATAATATTGTTTTGCAGGTTTAACAGAAAATTATGAATTTTTTTATATAAACGTTTGCTTTAAATATTCTGCATTAACAAGTACTTAAACGTAATAATTACGTCGGTTGAAATTTTAAATACTTTTTAATGCATATTATTTGTTTTATGATAACTTAAAGAGAAACAATATAATAATTATTCATTAAATATTAAGTAATGAGACATTGGAATAAAATTTAATGTTCTACGTCATCTGGTTTTCTTCTCTTCTTTTACTCATTTCGAATTAAAAAAATTTTCTGGGTTACGTTTTACTACGGAAGCCGGTTTGTTGCAAAAGCAAAACAAAGCATCAATGCTTATGCTTACGAACGCGGTCGTGCGTGCTTGGCTGTTATTACGGCATAGTAATAATACACAAAAACATATTTATAAAGAAGAGAGGAAGAGAGAAAGAGAATATTAATTTTGTTCTCACATAATAAGCAAACAGGAGCGAACATCAAGCAGCAAATTTAGGCACACTTAGCAACAGTCGAAATGATCAGAAAATTAATATGTTTTAAATGGTATGCCATAAAAGGTGGCT